GGGGGCTGTCTGGAGAAAGCATGAGCGCTCTGGGCGGCCTAGGCCGGGCAGATGCCTCGGTGGGCACTCGGCCCCATCTGGAGCTCTGTCACTGAGATCTTAGTGTGATAGCAGATTTTACTTTTAGAAGTCTTTGCAACTGAAGAAAATCTTGGAGTTAATAATAAAGTAAGCCTTTTCTCTTTTTCCCCCTCTAAGTGTACAACAAGGGTAAAAAATGCCATGATGCTAGAGCCGTGTCATGGGCTGCAGCAGGACATCACTGTAGTTGGTCCACTGTGAACTGGTCAGGCCCTCAGCAGCTGTCAGCTTTGGCTTATGTGAAATTCATATTATATACACGATTAAATTTCTATTGTGTATTTTCAAGTATAACATGGGTCAAGTTTGTTTTGTTCTCAGACCAGGAAATAAGAATTGAGACACGCAGAGTGGGGAATAGGTTTTGGAGGAAAAGGGCTACCCATCAGCCTCCTTGGCAGAAGTTTGGGCGCGGCCCAGCCTGACTGCCGTCTGACCTTAGTTGACCAACCCAACTTTTCCTGTATCTGTTTTCCATTAAAATTAGGGAAGTTTAACAACTATTACAGGCCTGCCGTGTGCCAGGTAATGATTTGCCAGACTGAGGATACAGAGAAGACAAGACACGGTTTCTGGAAGATCTTCAACTAGGAGGGAACAGGCTCTGAGACCGCTCGTGGCGAGTCGCACTGTGGCAGCCGTGGTTGCGGGGCTGTGGAGGGAGGTGGGAAGGAGCTGGGTCTGTCTGAGTCAGGTGACAGACTAGGAATGAAGGGAGCCCTGGACAGGGAGCATTGCTGCTACATTTCGGGCTTTCCTCAGAACTCCGCTGGGTGTGTTACCTGCAGCTTCCGGCTCCTGATGAGATTCTGCGTATCCAACAGCCTAGGTGCTGCCCATGCTGCTGATTTATAGCCCACGGTTTGGATAGCAAGGGACTCGAGCAGCTTTGCATCCTCAGGGGGAGAGTGTTGCACTAGTTTGGTGGGTGGAGAGTCAGCTGTCAGTTGACTAGCTGGTATTTAAAATTTAACAAGTATATCGTATTCCTAGGAAAACTGCATTAGTTTTCATAGCTTTCCAAGCTGTTATACCTGGAACTTTTTTATACAATGGACTCCACATTTCATTTTGGCCGCTCCATTGGGTGGTCGGTGACAAGTTGTAGTGTAGTTCAGCATGCCCCACTTGGGACCAAGGCTTTAATTCTCTTAACTGTAAGTTGAGGGTAAGGCCACCCCTGAGGGCTGCAAGGATTAGAGAAAACACCCACAGTGCCAACATGTAGTCCGAGTTCATGTTCCTTTCCAAGGGCTCACCCCCGAGGTTGCAGGAGCGTTTCCTGCCTGATAGCTGGAAATGGCCTGTGTTTCCAGTTGGCTGCTGTGCTGGAGCCATTGTTTTCCCTCGTTGAGGGGAGTGGGGAGAGGAGCTGAAAGCCTGCGGTCTGCCTACAGCCTCGTGTGAAAGGAGGTGTCACAAATACGGGAATTTGAAACAGTCCACGTGGAACTTTTTTTATTTTGCTTGGCTTCTGCTCTAGTAAAGTTGTTGAGCTGGAGTTTAAGAAAAACCGAACAGTTTGCTAAATTGATTTCAGAGTTTTCCAGATCCCCCTAGTTCCCACACCGGTGGAGTTGTCTTAAGCTGTGTATCCTCAGGTGCTCCACACTAAGATTACCCTCCAGTGTGGCCAGAGCTTCCGGAAGGGACACTGCAGGGAGGGTTTGTTCATGCTCTTGTTACAAAGGGGTGTCAGGCATGACTAGAAAGCAGTGTGTCTGCTTTCTGAACAAACTGATTTTCTCACATCCCAGTGACTGTCCTTCAAATAAGCCCCTTTAGAGCACTTGTGCTACCATGTTTCAACCTTCAGAACTTTTCAGGAATGACTTTTGAGTTTACTTTCAGGAGCCTGGTGTATAGTCTATTGACAGAAGTGGCAGGATCTGTCCATTGTTTTAGAAACAATCAGAATGCACTTGGGAGTCAAGACTGGTTAAGGGCTGGTGTTTAAACGTGAAAAACAAACATCATGATAAGGGAATGTCTCCTAAGTCAGGTTTTTCAGATCATCTGTGTGGCGCTGGCATAACTGAAGAGCCTGCATGAAAACAAACTGGATTTGACTCCTGACCAGCCAGCTAGTGACAGGCTGTCATTAGTTCTGGATTTGTTTGAAGATTTGACCAAGCAACTCAAATATGAGTTCCTGGAATTGGAACAGTGTGCAGTCTTGCTGGTGACCAAAGACCCCAGAAAACCAAGAGGCTGGGCTGGGCTGCCAGCTCCGGTGAACCTGGGGTGAGGCCACAGTCTCCCGGTGCACCTGACCTGCAGGCCACAGCCCCAGGTCGAATGCAGGAGCTGAGGAAGAGGGAGGGGTGACATGAAATAGCAGACGGGGTTGCCATATTTTTTGTTATCCGTGTTCCTTATGATTTTTTCCCAAGAACAGGACAGCTGGGGATGGTGTGAAAGAGATGATGGACTTCCTGCAGAATTATGTGCATTAGATGAGAGCTCTCCTGGGGTGGGAGGGAACTGAGATGTGTTGAGAGAGACTGTCTAGCAGGTGGGTGGTGGCCAGTGGCTAATGAGTGAAACTGGGCCAGGGAAGGAGCGAATGGGTTGCAGCAGGTAGAAATCATGACAGCGATGACCTATAAAACTCACAGTAAACAAAAAAATCAGAGCCCTTGGGAGATGGAGAATCTTGATTTGGATCCATTGCCTCTGGTGTCATGCCTGTGGTTATGTTACATCTCGTGACATGAGGGACTTTGAAGATAAAAGGTTGCTTACTAATCAGCTGGCCTTAAAATAGATTATGCTGGTTACCAAAGGGCCTGGTGCAACCACAGGAGCCTGAAGCAGCACTGAGATCTGAAGCTGAGGACTGGGTACACTTGGTCCCTTGAGGGTGAAGGGGACCATGTGGAAAGCAGGAGGAGGAAATGAATTCTGGAAGCCGTACCTGCCCTAGAGGCTCCAGAGGAGAGCCCAGCAAAGCCACACTGAGCCCCGCCTGCTGACCACAGAAATGCGAGGTTTGTAGAGTATTGTCTGAAGCCACTCAATTTGTGGGCATTTGTTACAGCAGCAAACAGGAAACTAATATGGCCGTTTTCCCGATGAAGATTATACCCTCCAACCCAGTGTTTCTCAGACCTAGCATGAGTTTGAGATTCCTCAAGGAATCCTGTTTAAAATGCATATGCTAATTCAGCGATGCCTGGGTTGCGGCCTGAGTTTGCATCACTAACAAGTCCCCAGGTGCTGCTGCTGCTGCTCTGAGAACCACATCTGAGCACAAGGCTCTTGTGTACCGTCATGGTCAGAGCAGGCCTGGGATTCAGAGCCAAGTGCAGAGGCCAGAGGAGGCCTGGCGTGCTTGTCCGCAGGCAGGGCTCACCTTGGGTCCCCAGATGAGCTGGGCTGGCACGCAGCCAGCTGTCAGCAGGTCTGTGGAGCTTCTTTCTGAGGAGACAAGTTGCAACTGATAGTAAATTCCTTTGAGGCCAGAGCCGCCCAAAGGGATGGCAGGAACCATGCCTACTAGATGGCAGGACACCATCTTCAGGACACTTGCTCTTACTGTACACTAAGACAATAAAGGATTGCGGAAGACCCCATCAGATCCTCAACAAATAGCTCCAAAGGACAAGAGGCTAAGCCTGTAGAGCAAGTAGTTAAAAATCCATATCAGCTGGGAAAGAATACTGTGATGTCTAGGTGTGCTGTAGGTGCAAGGGTTTAAAAGTGCCAGGGCTCCTTGAAAACTTCACATATGGTACTTTGACGATGGTCCAGATCCCACGAAGAAGTCATTATTGTAAAGAGAGTCTGGCCCAGCCAGCATGGCTTAGTGGTTGAGTATTGACCTGTGATCCAGGAGATCGCGGTTGGATTCCCGGTCAGGGCACATGCCTGAGTTGCGGGCTCGATCCCCAGCAGGGGGCGTGCAGGAGGCAGCCGATCAATGACTCTCATCGTTGATGTTTCTCTCTCTCTCCCTCTCCTTTCCTCTCTCTGAAATCAATAAAGACATATTTAAATTAAATACATAAATCATAAAGAAGGTCTGTCCCAGAATCCATCCGAGGGAGTTGACTAATGAGGGATCTGGAGTCAGGTGGTTCCACAACACAGACCCCAAGCATCAGCCAGATTCGGGGAGCCCCGGACCTCTGGCCACTTTGCTAGAGGAACCCCAACTAGTTGAAGAAACTGCAGGTGTGAACAGTAGCCACTGGCCCATTTTCTCTGGACAGAATGGGTTTTTCTCGGGTGTCTTTTCCATGATCTTTCTGATTAGGGGAGGCCCTGGACAACGCAGGAGATGGCAGTCTGCTCTCGGAGCAGGTTACCCACGCAATCCAGTCTTTCAGACAATGGCCTGTTGCCCTTTTAACCTCTCTCCACGTGCTATATGGCCATCTTCTGTGTGACTTATCTGTCCACTGGGTCCACTGGCACTGCTAGGTTCTGACCGTCCCCCTGCCTGCCAGGAATGTGCCTCTACACCACCGCTACCTTGCCCCAGGGACATGTGGCTCAAAGCCGTCTGGTGGGGACCCTTTGCTGGTCAGCGCTTCTGTCTTCTGTTCAGAGTTGACCATTTGTGCTGTTTCGTGACACTGATGTATCA